AATGCCCCTGAATTTTGTATATGTACAGTCCATAAAACCTGGTAAAAGTTCATTAGTCTACAAGGGCCCTTATCGTAACAGGGAGATTTCTGAAATCTGTGTTGATAATATTTAGGTTTATCAAAGTTTCATTTCTTCAATTATTTTGGGGCTGTAGCATGTTTTCCTGGATAAGCAAAGACACATGACACATTTAATCTCTAGTCACTGTATATATATTTCCTTTCTTACATAGAAGAGGCTTTTAGAGAACTGAGCTTTTCCTAAGAAAATGCCTTATATAGGTGTAACTACCTCTGAATTAGTAGCACTTTTGTTTTTATGCAAGTTTAATATTTGGCAGATGACGCTTTAAAAGGTGTTTTAAAATTCATATGCTTAATGAAATCTTCTTTAAAAGTTAATATCCTTAATGAGATACAAGGGGGAGTTTATGGTTCCAAATGTAGGTGAGCAAATGGTCCCTAATGGATCCCCCACGTGGAAAACATTCCCTTTACATTAGCTGTTTGAGATCTCAGAACATCCTGGTTCATGCATGTTTCAGGTTGAAATCTGTGCTTTTATCTACACTGAATGCCTTCTGGAAATTAAGTTCAGTGCCCTTTTGGATATGCACTGCTGGAAAAATTATTCAGGACAAGAGCTGGCTCATCATAATTTGAGTCTGAGAAGCCAAGAAAATCATCTGTGTGTAAGCAGAAGGACTGGACTCTGTTGCATTCTAGCTATTTGTAGAAGGCTTAATAAAGAGTAAGTGGATGGCTGAATGTAACCATTCAGTTCAAGCAGTTCCCCTGCAAGCAAAAGCCTGGGCAGGGCTCTGAACAGTTAGGTTTGGCTTTGAAAACAAAGCTTGAATTCTCCCGAAGTGTTGAATATATCTATGGAATAACAAACAGCCCTAAAAACACCATTCCTTAGAAGGCAGCTGGAAGATCCCATCAGACAAAAAATTACCAGTCATAAGGTTATGCTGCAAGTTCATCACCTTTGTCATGGACAATGAGACACTGACAAAGAAAGGCAAGGAGTAACTGCTTTCGGTGTGATGAAAGAGGCTGGTACAGGAAAATCCTGTGTCATACAGATCTCTGTACAGCAACTCCTGACCCAATTATCATGGACTAATAAGCAATGTCTTTGAGAGGTCTCCTCGCTGTAACTACTCCAGTCCTTCAGAGCCAGGCTTCAAGCACTCCCTCCCACTGGTCAGAGGCATCTCCAGTTCCCCTCCTTCCCCAAGCTCTCATCAGCTAGAGGGGAAGGATCTATGGATTTATCTTTTCCACTGTTCCTTACACCAAGAATAAAATGGAAAAGGCAAAGCACTGCAAGAGAAATCAAAGTCACAAGCAGAATTCTAAAGAGTCCTTAACTTTTCTTAAGTACATGAATATTCTCTAGTTCTCAGTTTGATTCAATGCCTCACATTGCTCTAAAATTCATCATAGCTAAGCAGGTGAAAATTTCTCACTGTCTCAAAACTTTCTTTCCTTTCACATACCATGTTCCTTTCATTCCGGATCTTAAGGTAGAAGGAAGAAGAGCATCACCACCATCTGAAGGGAACTGCTCCATTCTTGACTTTCTCTTCCTCCTGGTCCTGCAGGCTATGATTCAAGCTGTTAAGCCTGAGGTTATAACCATCCCTATTCAGGAATCCTCCACTGAGGAATCCCCATGGAATCGCTGGGATTCAGGCACGTTATTAAAATAGTTTTCTGAGCCGATCCTACAACGCCCACATTCTAAACTTTAAGCACACAACCATTTCAATTGCAAGCCTTCTGGGTTACCAGAGTCTTTTACCATTTCCCCCCTTCTTTTAAGCTTGGCAGAAAACTCCCTGGCCTGTCAGTGAAGGAGGCTGCTCACCGTTTGTCCTGTCCCTAGTCCTCGCTCCTCTCTCGTTGTGCAGAGTCCCCACGTTCAAGGGGGGAAGGTGGCACTTCCAAGCAGCAGCTCCTCCTACTTTACAGAGGAAGCCCAAGTTTCAGCTGCAGATGGCTCTGGACAGAGAGCCTGGATTCTGCTCTCCCAAGTCACAAGAAATGCCAACTTCCTATTAGACTGTCAATTTAACATTTCTTATAATGGTTTTTCTTTTTGACTAATTACAGCTACGTAAGACAGAGATGAACTCAGCCAACATCTGGTTAACAGTAGGACATTTCAGTGTTTGTGGCAGTGAAAACACAAACGGATCAGGCGGTGAAAGAATTTTTGCTTTTTGGTAGGGCGCAATATTACAGGGTGGAGTTAAAAATGTTTGTCTTTCAACAGACAAAACATTTGAGTCGATGGATTTCTGGCAGCGAACGATGTGTCCAGCCAAGTAGTTTCTCAATGTCCAAGCTAATTAATATTCCACTGTATAAACATTACAGATAAAAAGTTTGAAAATAACTCTTTTTATTGTGGGTTGTTTGTTAGAGATTATAATAATTTACTTCATATTTTCCAACAAGCCAACGGGTTCTGGAAATATTTACAGGCACATAATACACTGTTTACAATTGCAGAGTGAATGATATTACTTTGAATCAATGACTTCCTGTTTCTTGTCCGATTCCCCAAGGGAGGAAAAAAATGAGTTCATCTCTCTTGGCTTAATAGAGGACTCTGAATCAGCAGTTGAACCTACACAGAGTCCTCCCCTTCTTCCTGCTCCAGTTCCCAGCGCAAAGCCCTGCGCTTCCCCCGTCTTTAAAAAGATCTTTTGAAAAGTAAACTAAAAAAGCACACATTAAAGCAGTAAGTTCTAATTATGTCATCAAAAATTAATTGAGACAAGTTTGACAAGTCCGGAAAGATTAAATTCGTCTTTCATTTTTTAAGTTGATAAACTTCTTCATAGCCTTCAAGAAGTCAGAACATCACATTCTCCCCAAAGGCATTGATATAATTTCCTTTCCTTTGCCGTCTGCTTGGAAATTATCAAAATATGAAGGAGGGAACAATGTTCTAGCTTTCTGAAGCACGTTTAAAAATTTACATATTCCTTATCGCACTGTCAGTGTTTTCCTCTGCTTTCAACAAAACTCTGGCTTTAACTAAACACTTCATATTCTGTCCAGATGTTCTCTATGCCCGTCCTCTGCCGGAGAGTTTGGCAAGTCCTGCTGCAATAGGAGAGGGTTTGTGCAGTAGATGGTGGGATCCCTACACCATCCTAAAATGTTCACCAGCTCAAAGGCATTTGGACCATACCTCTCGAATTTCAGGCCCCTTTCTGCCACCCTTTCCACAGAAACTCGGCACTTTTCAAATATTTTTGGAGCCATAAAGGTTGGACTGGAGAAGGGAAATGATGAGACACAAAGTGGACCTGTTTGGGAATCAAGGAAGTCATTCTCAGGTTTGCTGCTGGCCAGGGCCCTTACTCATGTTGAAACACTGGTAACTTTATTTTCCATTTGACTCATTTTGCATAACTCTGCGCTCAGATGAACTGTAGCCTAAGCTATTTAAAACTTCCTTCAAAATCTGATTTAGAAATAGCTTTTCTGCTGCTTCCTAGATATTGCTGAGACTATTCCTGATGCAACACATCAGCCAGGGCTCCCCCACACCAGCACTATGCGCAGACCCTCGCTGACCTCCCAGTTTCAGGGGCTGGGCTGCCTCTTGTCAGCTTGTTACTGGGCCAGGGTCTGCTCGGCTTCCCAGGGCAACGACCCAAGGGACAGCTCGCTGCAGAGCCGACACATGTCTGTGAAACCGCAGAACGCCATTCTACCACCTTCTCCCCGGGCAGCTCTTTTCAAGGCTGCAGTGTGACATTGCACTAGGTGTGAATAGGTACTTCATTTTCATGTGAAATTCTGAAAGCTGACAGTGTAGATATTTTAAAAGTATCTTAACGTTGCCTGATTGTTCGGAAGCTGTGTTCTGCTCCCTCTCGGTTTTGGGGGGATAGCGGGGGCAGGACGAGGGCGCTGCCAGCCGGGCCAGAGGAGCCTGCGCCTTA